TGGCCTGCACTCCTAGGTATCATAGGCGGCTTAATTCTCTGTCTTTTCCACCTAAAACCAGTCAATTTTTGCTGAAACTTAGTCCTGGGTCATTTTTTTAGAAGCCTCCCCCACCTTACAAAACATTCCCTGGCATGCCAGAGGTTAAAAATAATTTGCTCGTTGAATTCTTTAGCACTTAATTAGACAAGAGCTTATTTGTACAAACCAGGAAACAATCATTTGGGCAGAGTTCACTCACATGGTATGTTCTGCCTCATTTTTACTCAAGAAATTCTTTTGTTATGATTTTGGAGCATGAGAAGGTCATGCGTCATCCCTGGCTCTTTTTTTTTTTTTAAAGTGTTATAGTGCATTTAATAGAAATATGATGGAGAGACCTATGTTGAGGTATTTCTACAGATAGATTTTTCTACTGATGTGCAAATACTGGGTTAAGTCCATTACTCATAAAGCTCCACTTTTTTTCATCACTGAATACAACCTTACTATATTTTCTTGTTAATTGAAGTAAGAAATTGTGCTGTGTTGTAAAGATGTAGTAGATATACTCTAACTTATTGCAAGAAACAATAGATATGTGCATAAGAAGAAGTTAGTGCAGTATCAATACCAAGTTATTTACAGTGCTTTTCTTTCCGCGTTAGCTGGAAAGGGGAATGCGGCAGGGACTCTTCACTGCAATTACAAGATATCTCTTGAGGTCACCTGCGTTTTTGGTTACATGTATTGCAAAGGGAGCATAATTTATTCCAGTTAATTTTGGATTTGAGGAGGAAAAATGCACAGGCTATTAATCTGGCGCATTTGAAATGTTTGGTGCGGATGTTGGTGTTTGCGACGCTTTCCTCTGCTCCACAAGTCTCGGTTGAAGAGGGCAGTTCATCAGTTGGTTTGGGGGGCAGAACTGATCTTTCCCTTATAAAATGCAGAATGCTCAATGAATGGCAAAAGTGCTTTTAAAAGGGGCTTGTGGAACACTTTGAAAATATTAATTAGTGTGTTGAAGCATTCTGCATAGCATATCATAGTAAAACTGCTCCAGGGGGTTGCTTGGAATGAATTATTAATATGAATCCCTCTCTCCCTTATGCTTCACACCCTGATTTTATGGGACTTGGCGTGGGTTGGGGTGTCTATTAGATTCACTTATTGCCTGTTTAGTGGGAGTACTTTGTAGACTGCATCAAAAGGTCACTATTTTTTTTCAGAAACCCAAATTTTAAACAATAAAAAGACTAGATTCCCCTGAACGTGAAAGGCGAGCTATTAAAAAAAAAAAAGGAAATTCACCACAAAGCCATGATTTAAGTTGTATCATCATTATGCCGTAGAGAAGGGTAACATATCCGGACTGCTCAGTCCCTGTGACACTGGCACCGAGCTCTTTTAGGTGCATTGCCACTGGGTTGTACCGGAACGTATGGCACAGCCACATGCAAATCTCACCTACACGCTTGTCCAGATGACTCTGAGAAGAGCATTTTCACTAAAACCGTGTTGTAACATGTTCACACTTCTTTCACACGCATTTAGCTGCCTTGTACGACAAGTAGCGAATTCATAAATTCACAGACTGAAGTTCCTTTTCCCCTTTTGGCTTTACAATATCAAAAAGTTGAACCTGTTAACCTAACACTGAAAGAGAAAAGCTGTGCTTAAGAAAAAAATTGCTTTTTAGCTCTTGAGGTCTGTTTTGATGAAGTCCCTTGTGTACAAATATAAATAAATCCATAAAGTAATTTGACTTTTAATTCATACTCGGATTATGGAAATATTTGTGTTTTCTTGGCTGCTAGACTGAATTGCAAAAGGTTTTGAGGGTCCAGTTTTCATTCTTATAAGCAAAAGAAGTACAAAAATGATGGTTTACGAAACAGCGGCACCTATAGCACAGTGATTCTCAAAGGACTAAGTATTGTGCCAAAACCCAATTTGTTATCTCTAGTCCATGAAGGCAGAGGGAGACTGAACTTTGGGCTTGATGTGCTCTCATCGCACATTCAGAATTCCCAGTGTCTGCAGTATGAACAGCAAACAAGTTGGCTGGGAGTGCTGAGAATGAAGGGAACATAATATCAGGCTTTTTTCCCATAATATTAAAAAAAAATCAAAACCCACACAAATAAGGAGTTTATTTCTGCATCTCAAAATAGATGCTTAAAAATAGATCTGTGTGTCATATTTGAAAGTCTAAAAATATGGTGCATTTAGTCTCTCTCTGCAAGAAGCAAAAGGCAAGAAGAAAGGGAAAGCTCCTCACAAACAGCATTGGCATTCTTGAAGCATAAAGGTTTTAGTTTATTTATGGTGTTAAAAACTTCAGTTAGAGTCATCATTTTAAAAAGCAAATCACAGAGTGGTAAATGCCAAGGAGATTATGAATAATAGCTTCTTTTTTTTTTTAAATAAAAAAAAGGTGAAAGACAGCATGTTATATTGGAGTCTAATAGATAGCATAAATCTGCACCATCTGCAGAAGTTTGACATGGAAGATTTTACTCTTGCTGTACTTCCCAAGAGTTCTGCCAACGCAGGGTCTTAGCTGCAATTTCTTGTTGATGACAGCTTGCTGCAATTATGACAGAAACTAATCATTAGCATCAGCCATTTCTTACTTTTAAGAAAATGAACAGCTATTTCATTTGTTTAAAAAAAGCAACCCTGAGAACTAGTTCTGTTTTAGGAGTTAAACTGGTGATGGATTTTTCTGAGGAAAGGATCATCTTACGGTTTCTCAAGTTGTGAGTGTTATTGGCTCTATGTAATGTGTCTTTTTTTTCTTCTTCTTCTTCTTTTTTTTTCTTCCAGAGGAGAAAGGTTGCCAACTGATTAATATTTTAAACATGTAGACAACCTGCAGACCTTGCTCTCACACTCAGATTTCTCCCTTATCCCTCCCGAAAAATGGTTTTATTGCTAAAAACTCATTGTTAGAATTTCATACTCCCGGGTGAAACGTGGTCATTTATGCATTTTATTTCACCAAAATTAAGGATAAATAATAATAGAAAGAGTTCAGCAAACAGTTAAAACAATATCACATGTAATCGCTGTGGAGTTTGGAGGATTTCAGCTTCTTGCTTAAAATTATGTGGGTCAACCTTATGATGTGGGCAATGAATAGGAAAATATGCTTCATTTCAGGAACTGAATTTTATATGTCTTTAAAGAAAATGTTGGTAATGCTCAGCGCGACAAAGTATAAGATGCCAATTTAAGCATTTGTATGTGCACAAGGTACTGCAAAGCAAGTTGCAGCGTGCTGTTGTAGGCTCGTCTGGATAATTTATGGGGATTTGTTTTTATTTATTATTCAGATGAGGATTTAACTATTCCACAATCTCATTTGAAAGTGTAAGATGAGAAACTGAAAGTTTGCTGTGAGATAAGAGAGATAAAGGAGCTGAGAAAGGAACTTCCAGTGGCCCCTCCATCCTGGCCAAGCCCCAAATCCACGCTGGCTTTTTGTTGACCTAAAACCTAGGTGTGATTTGGACGGTGTGAGGGGCTTGTCACGGCCGCTCCGAAGGCTGGTGCGATGGTGTAGGCTCACATTACGTCCCAGGGCTGTCTCCCTGAATATCACGAACCAGATTTAGCACCTGCTTATGTCAGTGCAAATCCAGAGCGCTCCATCAACACCAGAAGAGCCGCTCCAAAATTGCACCAGCAAAACTGGGAACGCTGGTGTTTAAGCTGAAAAAAACATCTTGATATAGTTTTGTTCTGATAAATTCTGCATTACTACTCTCCATAGGGCCCACTTCTCCTCCCATCACATTGATTTTCTCACTGAGGCTACTTTTGATTTATATCTGCATGACCATTGCACAAAACTTTGGACTACTTTAAATAAGCACTGAAACCAGCCTTTAATTTCAATCATTCATTATTATTTTCATTCCCTCCCTCTCATCCCAAGTTTCTTCTGAATTGTATCTTAGACTCTTGCATCTGTGAAATGCTTATAGGAAATAACATATAAAGTACAGCAGACGTGGCAGACACGTACACCCATTCATGTCAGTGGCAGCAGAATAAATTCTGCTTTACAAATCAAAAGGAAATAGAGGATTTCTGCATATTCAGAGTCCTGCCAAAGAGCCATTTGCACAGAATACGCTGTGGATACTTTACATGAGATACCTACAGAAAAATGCTTCCCTTGCCAGTGAATGCTAAGTAGACCTATGGTTCAGAAAAGGCAGGATGAAGGATGCTCCTAGAGATAAAGAGCAACACTCAAACAAATTAGAAAGTATTCAGATCCTTAAAAACACGTTTGTGGAAAAACTAGTTCAGCATGTTAGATGCTCTCCATTTTTTTTGGCTTCTTGTGACTCTAATTCTGCCTTTCCTCCTGGTCCCTGGTGATATTCGGTATCTAGTTATCAGCTTTCTGCTTCTACTGAGATCAGGGACCCGTTTAGGTGCGTTCAACCTGGGCCTACCTGAAATTTTCATCTGTAAGCAAGCTGGATATGTGTTTGTTTTAGTGGTAAAATCTGCATCTTAAATATTTGCAGAGATACACGCATCTGTTGTAAAACCACAGATGTGCGTCTCTGCAGATATATATACTTCGGTGTGATATATTATGTTTTATAATTAAAATTTTATTGAATTTTAATATAAAAACAAATTCATACATTAAAAATTAAGTAGAGAACAAACATGTGTCGTATCAGGAGGATACAAGCTGTGGTACAGTAGGACAACAACATCTGACCCATAAAATACACCCTGCTTTAGTTATAAAATACCTTTGTGGCTAGGAGATTAGTGTGATATATTATTGAGGTTCCAATATTTGGAAAAATAATACCGTTTTGTCACTTCCATTCATGAGTAAAGAAGCAGCTTTTGAAGTCCCTTTATTAAACATTCGAAAGCAAATGGATTTAGACAGAGCAAGCATAGTCTCCCAACAAGCAGAGTAAGTATTGTTTATGCTATGTAGTTAACATTTTTTGAGCAGACTAAATGGTTTCTCACAGTGCCCAATACAGCACGTTCATTCGGATGCTGGAGTCGCTTGAGCTTGGATCGAGAAATAACGCAGCCTTTGCTTGCAATCCTTACCCAGTCAAATCCCTCAAGGACGTCAAGGTAAGTGCTGATGGTACGAAGAGTAACTTACTCTTCTTAGGATGTGTGATAAGTGTATCTTATTGTGCGCAGTATGAGATGGGTCCAGAGTACTTTACCAACATGATTTTATCTTCATATCACTATCATCTTTGGGGGCAAAACTGCAGTATGGAGAAAAAGGGATGACCCACCCTAGGTCAACAACAGTGATAACCAGATGACTTCTCTCTACCAGGTCTAACTGGTGGGCATCACGTTATGCTCCCTTCATTGAAACCATTTTCCTGTGCAGCAGCACTGATAAAAAGCAAACCACAGTGTAGGATGTATGCAAATACAAGAGAGAAAATCGTACTGAAATATTTGAATACTGTTACATAAAGGGGTGATGTGCCTTTGCCTTGAACGCTGTATTCATTTCCATTTCAAAAAAGGTACAGCTGAAGTATAAAAAGTTCATAGATGGTTGATGGAAATGATTAGACAGAGGGCTAGATTTGTGCATGACGAGAGCCTGTCAAGATTGGAAGATGAATTTTGTGGCTAACAAGAATGAAAATGGTAAAGAGGTATCAAATAATGAATAGTGCTCAGGAAAATATTGAGGATACCTTTCCCCCCCCTTTTTGCCAATACAGGAATACAAGAACGGCCAAAGGACGTGGCAGGGACCGCACCTCAGGCTGATGACGAGAGACATGTCTTGCAGATGGGATGTAGGATTCATTGCCACAAGAGTTCAAGAAGTTTGGAGGGTCACGTGTTTTGAAAATGAGCCATTAGAGATTTGGATAGCAATATTTGCATGAGATGAGGTAAAGCTAGGGGATGTGTAATCTCATTCTCCATTAGCTGCTGGGACTGAGGAAGGTGTTTCCCAGGGTTGTGGTGTCCCTTTGCGGTGTCTCTTGACCCTTTTCCAAGGCTTTTGGAAGTCGTTGCCAGAGCTGGACGTGCCTTCTACCACCAGCCCTCTCGTCTCCAGCACCACCATCCTCAAAGGAGAAAACAGGCCCGGCTCTGTTTAAAAGTTAAAATTTAACCTCTAAATCAGTTCCACAGTACCCTCTGCATCATCATTTTTTCCCTTTTATTTGAGAATGTTCTGCAAATCAGGTAATAGCAATATTTGGGAGTTTCATTGGTGAACAGAGACAAGCGTATCGTGATTGCAGACTCCAGGAATTCAGGGCAAGAGACTTTCTGGAGGACGACATACGAGTGCACGCATGCACACGCCTGCACACGTGCCTGCACGTATACCCTGAACTTAGCATGACTCTGCGCCTTCAACTTTTAACACACTTCCCCAATTAAGCTATTCAGGGCTCACACTTAAATAGCTGTCCGCAGCTGCTGCAAATTGATTTATCCCCTGATGACAGTCAGAGCTGCTGACCAAACTGCTGGAGAGAAAGAGTTCTTTAATTTAGGTGTTGTTTTCTTTCTTACTTTTTCCCTTTTCACACTGACTTTAACTTACTTTTGCTTTACGATTAATTCAGGATGGCAAGGTCAGTGTATATCGCAGTGTATATCTCGGCTCCATTTGGCATAAATAATATTTGTTTTCCTGTTTCTTAAATAGACAAATTAAACTAGGATTTTATTGAAGTAGATGAAACTTTTTTTTTTAAAAAAAAAAAAAGTTTTTTTTAAGAGAGGACTGCTAAGACATCCCAATGTTACAGATGTTTTTTTAAAGGCATCTTGTTATTTGTGCTCTGAGAATTTACTGAAATGGTGGTGTTCAGATTGGAAATGGCATATTTATTCAGTCTATGAAAAGATGATGGCTCCTATCTAGTAAAAATGGGGCATTTTCCTCTACTCATACATTTACTTTGTTAATTTGCAAACTCAACAACACATCTCAGCATGCAGCTGAGTTATATACCATTTACAGTTTATATAAAATGTTGCAGCCCATCCAACATAAACCTGTGATGAAAGATGGTATTATACACAGATAATCTATAGCTCTCTCAAATGATCACTTTATGATTGTGCGTACAAAGAACATACTCCTTGCTTATTTTTGGTTTGGAGAAAAAAAAAACAACCTTCAGAAATGATTAATAGTAAGTGTCAGTAATTTGTTTTGGAGAGGGACTGTCTTTATGTTATCACATATCCCATTAACACCGGCAGGAGGATATCGATTATACACAAACTAACTATACTTGCAATTATTTCACTGGAAAGGATCAACAAAAAGAAAGTAAACCCCAAGTTTCAGATTTAGAGATTTATAGGTACCTTTCTTGTGAGTCTACGGCAAAATAATATATAGACAAAACAGAAAAAATAAGATTTCTGTGCTAATTTTATTAGATATTTTTTGGTACAGCATATATTTAACATTTTTTCACTACCAAACTTTGCCAAGGAAAATAATCCCCAAAATCTTCATAGTATTTGTAGAAGATACGAAGTGTATTTTATTACATTTTTTCAAGTCGCTCCAGTGCTGAAATCTGGAACCTCTGGTGTGGGGCGTGCAGCTTCTCCTTCGGCAGCTGCCACAGACAGGTCCAGCTTTCGCGTGTCCGTGTGCTGTGCGTCTTGGAATAGGGAAAGGGAAAATTATTGTCCTTGCTGTGTCAATGCTCTTCTTCTGACCTGATGTTTCGCTCCACTTTCAGGAAAATTCACCTCGCTGGCTCAGTCTCAGCTCCGGCTATCTTAAATCAGGTCTGAGAAAAAGCCTGCTGAGCTATCTGAGAGCCTTAAAGAAAAACCTTATTGTTAATAGAAAATAACAACCTTTATACAGCACTTTTTATACCAGACTGTAAAATTTAATCGAGGGTTTTATCTTACCATAGAAATTTGTTTTTTATAAAAATCCCAGGTAACATTATCATTTCTGTTCAGTTCTTCTTTTAAGGAACGGCTGCAGGAATTGACTCTATTTTTATTTAGGTACTTTCAGGAGCTGCACCTGTTGAATGCTACAGGACTCCTCCAAGGGCAAATTTAATTCTTCAGGGGGTTTAGAAAAAAACTCAAAACTCCTCACGATGTTGAAGACTTTTCTTTTCTCATATCTAACCTAACAGTGTCTTGGGGAAAAAAAGAAAAAAAAAAAAGAAGTATATTTTATGGGAACTTAATGAGAAACACAGCCTCTGCCACTCCCCAACCTAAGGAGGATGGGGAGCTGCACCCCAGCCACAGATTTTTGGGGGGCACGAAGCCTGTAGGGTCGAGCCGTCTCCTTTGGCATCACACAAGGGTAGCAGGAGCCGGCTGGAATAATCCCAGGGGATGGCCTACACGCTTGTGTGTTTTTGCAACACTTTGAGGCTTTTTTGATGCTTCTAAGGAGGAATGCAATTAGCTTTTCAATGATAAATAAATTAAAGATAGTTGATTTTGCCTTTCACACATTTGTTTTCTTTGCCTTCATAAGGGACTGCAGCCTGTTTATGATTTTCTTAGAAGTTTGAGAGACTTGCTCTCGCTTAGTGACAAATTCTCCCCTCTAGGCAGCATAAGAAGGAAAAAAAGGAGAAAAGCAAAGATAGTGGGAACCTGCAAATGGACAGCGTGTCTGTAGGGAAGGGAAACCCCTCAGGACTCCCAGAGGTTTGGTTTGGTTTCTGGCTGTTTATTTACGTAATTAGAGCATGTAATTCCACAACAAGGCAAAGAGAAATAAAAACCAGCAACAAAGGGGAAAAAAAAAAGAATCACAGAAAAGCACAGCCAAATAAGTTGGTTATCAAGGACTAGAGTAAGGGTCTGGTGGACTTTCAAGGCTGCAAGCTTTGGCTCAGCAGCTGATGGTCACCATCTGGTCTCCGGCATGGATGGGACTTGTCATCTCCTGCTCAGGTACCTGAATCCTGTGCAGAGATTTCCTCCACCAGCACCACTGCACGCAGCTGAGAGAGAAGCTCCTGACCAGCCTGAGAGACCATTGAGGACCAGGCTTTAGAGAATGTCATCCAAAGGTTTGCAATGTAAGTCTTGATAGTTGCCTTTATTTTGAGCTTGGTAATTACTTCATACTTTACAGCTTGGTGTTCATACCCATACAAAGCCTTCCTATTGATTCAGAGTTTCAAGTAAATCAAAGAGGTTGCTTGAAGAAGGAAGGATAACGCTGCCACCAAGATGGAGCTGCTAACAGGCTAGAATTGTAGTATTTGGAGAAAGTCTTTTGCTTCAGGACAGAAACTATGTGGAAAAAAAAAATGCTTAAACTAGCAAGAGTGGGCCTGGGAGTTTGTACAAAAGAAAGGAAAAAAAACCTTGCAAAAAGCCAAATCCAAGTCAAAAGAAAAAATACTCCGCATAGTCAAATTAAAAGTGAGGTTATTAAGGTCAAGGAAAAGTTTGTTTGGAGAACTGTACAGCTGAGGAGTGTAACAAAAAATAAAAACATTGTGAATTTTTTTCTAACTGCTCCTGAATGCAACACGCGGTTTCTGCGGAAGGTCAGTCATCAGGAACTGATCCGGGATGATAGAGGTAGGTCCACGACACGGCTGTACAAATAATTTCAGTAACATTATATATGACCGGTGGGAATGAGGCTGTTCCAGCTTTCTGTCCCCTTGCGTATTTCTATCATGCCCATCACTGCTGTATCTGGTGTGTGAGATCTAATCAAGTGCATTGCATTAAAGCAAGGAAATAGGGTGAGCAATAGCCCAGCCAGCAGGGCATACCCAGACAATCAGAGCAGCCCGGCTGCCCTGAACTGAGACTTGATAAACTGCAAGAAGTGGAGAAATGTCTTTTTTTTTTTTTTTCCTTCCTAGGTAAAGCCTTTATCCGTGTGCGTGTGGAAGTCCGCACAGCATCGAGCTCTTCCACCCACCTGGGGCAAGAAGGATCGCCGGGGACCATCAGCTCTGAAACAGCCCTCCATCACCTCTCGGGGGGTCCACTGGGTCTGCAAAAGGACCCATGTGCTGGAGCTGATGTCTCCTCTTCACCACACTGCAGTAGACTGGGCAGCGGGGCAGGTAACGAGCGAGAGGGACTACGAGGAGATGGAATTAGAAATGACTTCCAAGCTGTGGTTCTCCTGCTCCGAGAGGAGCATGGGAGGGCTGGTTGTGCTAGGTTCTGCGGAAACAAATATGTCAAAGGTTATGGAGAAAAGTCTTATAGATGATGGCATGGAAAGTAAGCAAAGAGTAAGGTGGAAAAATAAATCGGAGTTGTCTGTCACTGAATGGTCAGAAATAGGTGGAGCACCAGTAACGAGACGACAGGCAACCGCAGACGTTTGGACATCTGCTGGTGCTGCCTACCGAGGAAAAAAAAAGGAAAAAGATTTAAAGAAAGCAAAATACATGATTCTCATTGTCAAGGTGAAACCAGCCCCAACGTGCTTAACTCGGGCTTCAAGCCCCGCGACCCATCGTGAGCGGGGGGGAAGGAGCTGCCCACGTAGTTTGGGAATGGTGTGCAGACATAGGACAGGACCGTGGGGAAGTGCGCAAGGACGGGGTCTGCATCGGTTTGTCAGGCCTGTAGTGAGCACCTTGCCCAACGCTAAGCAGCGACAATAAGTTTGTAATGACCTAAATTCATTTAAAAAAGAGAATTACTGATGTATATATTCAGGTCAATAGCACTTTCCCCAGGTTTCAATAATCGGATCAATTATCTGAATCCAATAAAATCTTATTAAAGAAATTCAGAATTATCTTTAAAATAGCTGGCCTTGTAGTCCCTGAGTAGGTTACAAAAACTGCTATGAAGAATTACTGTGACCTACTTTCTGGGCGGTACAGATATCATTATCATATCAGAGGTGCAGGCTGATAAGACTACATGACTTCCATCTCTTATTGAAGATAGTTTGGCAAAGTACTAGCACAAAACTTTAATCTAGGTCCCCAAATTAATTTTTTTCCATAAAGCTCAGCTGAAATTAAAAAAGCCAAAGCATTGCATGTGAAGAAGCATTTATTTAATGAATTGCACAAGTTTTAGCCAACAACGTGGTGAACGTTTTAAAGCGCACAAGGTGGGCATGAGTTGTTGTTCTTGCAGATGACAAATGGTTGTTCAACCCTTGACAGCGTAAGACACGGGCACGCTGGCTGAGGGGCACTTAGTGCCCACAAGTGCGTATGAGCACCTGAATCGCAAAGCAGAGGAGGAGCGGGACTGTTATATTACAAGAGCTAATGGAAAAACTTTCCGCCTCACCTCTGCCGGGTGAGATATTTGGTTATTGTATTGCTCCTGAGAAAATAGCTTTGCTAAAATTCGGCTGGAAGCTCTTCCTTGTATTCGTAAGCTGTTCTCCGATGCGGCAGCACGTGTGGATCTAGGCTGGGAAAGGAGGCTGCGCTGGGCAGGGTTGTCCAACGGGACTCCGTGGCTCTTTTTGTGCCTTCGATACCTCTGAATGAAACCTGGCCTCTGCGCCGGGTACATTTAAAAGCGGCGTTTGCTTAAGAAATACCCTTAGCTGCGTCGGGGCTGAAGTTCGGCGCGGCGCAAAGACAGCGGGTGTCCAACTGTGACTGCAGCGGAGCCGGGATGGTCCCCAAACCGGCGTGTTTCTGACGTGAAAGCCCTCTCAGGGCAAGAAGGACCCCTGAAAAAAGTGGTAGCGGGTACCCGGGTGCCTGGTTTTACCTCCTTTCGGCCGTGTGCCGTGGGGCTTGCCGCCAGCCGGTCGCTCGTTTTCGAAGATGCTACGCTCCGGTGAAAAGCATCGCCGTCCCCGCGAAGAAAGGAGCGACGCCAAACAGCGAACCCTCCGTCCCGTCGCGGCTTCGCCTTCCCCTCCTCACCCCTCCAACCACGGCTTTTGGGGGCAAAGACGGGAAGAAAGCGAGGTTTCCCCCTACTCCGCCACCGGAGCCGGCTGGAGCAGCGAGGGGGGAAGAGAGCGTTTTTATGCGTTAATTAGAAAGCCGAGCCGGCGGGAGCCCGCGCCGTCGGGCGGCTTCTTCTCGGCGTGGAGAGCGCGGGGCGATGGCGGTCCCAGCTGCCGTACGCCGGCCCCGCTCCCGCAGACCGGCCGGCGGAGCCAGGCCCACCTCCCTTCCGAGCTCCCGGCTTTGATCTCCCCCGTATCAAACCAGTAACAGCCTCGGTAGGATGGTGGGAGGCAGCGGGCGCCGCGGTCGTTAGTGGTGGCGTGCGGCTCAGGGCAGGCACCTTATCTCCGCGCGGTGCAGTCAGCCTCCGATCCGCGGCGTGACATCAAGGCAGGTCCGACCGACTGGCGCTTTAATTAGGAGGCTGAAATTATAATATTATGTTAAAGAACAAAGAGTCTCCAAAGGAAAAATATGTGCCGCATATCTGACAAAGATAAATTGGATTATTCAAAATATTCCTGATGAAATGTTACATTTTGCAACTAATTATCAACCTGTTTTATCTCCAGACCAGCTGGGCATTTTTGTGCATGCAAGACCTGCCTTACCAATGATCTTAAGATGTCACTGTGGCGTTTACATCTTTTATTTCAAGATTTAAATAACTAGGAAGTAGCTAATGTAATTCACTGCTGAGAAGAAAGGCTAGTTAGTTGAATGCTTTCCAAAGTGATCTTCTCCTAATGAACTTCTTTGGACTGTGAGTAATGAGGCTTTATTCAAATACTGTTTAAGAAAGATTTTTGTAACGTAATTTTAAAAGGAAGAGCAATACTTGATACATTTAAAATATCTTTATTAATCCTATACTGCCTCATGTAACGTTAAAGCATTGTGAAAATTTGGTATTGTTCTTTCTGAATGCTACTTTCGAGATTAACAGGTTCTAGTTGCAATGGAGCTATAGAAATCAGGCAATTATCTCGTAAATGTTCAGTGATATCTTACAAATTACAGTCTGGCGTGATTACAGTGCCATTTTGCTGTAAAAGCATGTATTGTTTAAGTATATTTATATATCATAGTAGTACATAACTCCCCTGATCCCTAGTCAGACAGTACACCTACCTGCAAGCAGTGTGCTTTGCTAACTCTGTTATAGCTTGCCATTTGGGACAGCTACGCCTAGATTAATCTACTGGAGGTGTCATTAAAATTTCCTTTTGTGTGTGGTTTTGTGGTAGTTTTCAACTGGAATAAGAGAAAATACCTATTAGGTTCCCTTCAAGAGCAGGTTTCTGCGATATTTTGAGTTCTTGGTGAGATTATGAAGTTCTGCTGGAACTGTTCTGGCAAATGCTGCTTTTATGGGACTGAACTGACAGAGTGGCCAAAAAAAAAAATATTAAAAAATTACATTTCTGACGTGAGGTTTGCTTGGCCAGTTGCTAGGAAGGGACAACAATAAATGTATTTGAGCACGTCGTTGTCCCGTCCCCCCCCATTTTTTATTAACTAATGAAGTGTAATCATTGGGCACGGGCTGATCTCATCCTTCAAAAAGGTTGACGCCCACTGCATATGGGAACCTGACTGATACACTGTGTAATTATATATTTCTGAAGCTAGCTTTATTTACAGCTGAGGATCAGCTCCAAAAGGACTACTTAATTCTAGAACTTTAATTTTTTTTGCTTTTATCTCCCAATAGTTAAATTTTGAACTCTATATTCAGCTTGTCAGAGTTTTCCCAAAGTAGGAACTGAATAAGAAAGCAGGATTTGATCCCTTGGGAAGGCTATATTTTTTTTTTCGTCCAGATAATTCTTTCTGGTTATTGATGCAGGGAAAAATCCTGGTGGTCTAACTTGTGTAAATAGTCCCCGTCCACATGGTGTGGTGAGCGGGGAGCAGATCTCTACCCATGTAAGAAAGGCCGGCAAGATAGAGCTGCTCATCTGCTGGGCTGCTTGGCTGCAAAGTAGGCTTAGAGGCATCAGAGGACACGAGCTTCTGCTTCCAGTTGACTTAGGCTGGAATACAACTTGTTTCCTGGAGCCAGGTCAAAAAATGTGGAGAGTTCAGCCGGTGGCACATGGAATAAAACCAGATCGGTTTGCACAGCTCGTCATTTTTTCTTCCCATTTCTACAGAGTGAATTGCATCCCAACTACTGATCGTGTTAACTGTTCATAACAGCTTCCACTCCATTATATAAACAAATGCTTTCTGCCTTTTTAATCAGGGTCTTCCTGAAGCTGCTCACTGCGTCCTCTACCTTTCCACGTGCTATCAAGGCCTGATCCTGCAAAGCGCCGTGCATCTCCTCAGGGGTGCTCGGCACACTCGCTTTCTCCCGAAATTGCGGCGAGTTAAGAGTGGTCAGCATCCGGCAGGATTTGGCCCTTGCTTTGCACAAAAATCTCTTTCAGTTTGAATGTTTCATAATGTATGTTTAAATAGTCGCAGCTAGCAAAGAACTTTGATGAGGCAAAGGGGTAATTGGATTTTCTTGTTCTATAATTAAAAAGGTATATATTACATCCACATTAATACCAAAAGAGTTCATCGTGATCAATGTTATTACAATGAATACCAAAGGATTTAACAGTGATTGGCCACTTAGTTTAAAGGGTACCTGAAATCATTAAATTGTTTGCTGGAGGGCTTATGAAGGCCTATTGGATCACTTGCGACGAAATTTTTTTTTTTTACTACTGGCCTGCAATGTAAGGTTTACTCTTACAAAGTAGGAGCAACAGGGTGATCATTTTCCTTTATTATTCCCTTATTGACTTCCAGTTAATTTTAATCTTTGCATTAACTGACCTCTATTAAGCATGCCATGTATCTGATTACACTGTCAAGGTTGAGACTGGAAAATGACCTATTGCACCACGTCAATTGTCCTTCACGGAAGCCCTTACTGTTAATCAAGAGAGGAAGATTAAAGGACATCAGAACTACCAGCCCGAAGTGCATTTTGCATTTGACTACACCTTTCTACCAGTGCGTGTGTATTGTCCTGGAAAAAAACAACGCAGGGAAACGTAAGCTGTTAGGAGCAGCTTCTGCTCAAATCTCCGCAGAGAGAAGTTCTCAAGGTAAGGTTACATACGCAGCCTTAGCTCTACCCTTATACATTTTAATATATCCGTGAAATCCTAAATTAAGTTATCTCATGCTGGTTTTGGCTAAACAGAACATATGTTTTTTTCTGCAATATTAAGGTGCTCACTTTTAATTTTGTTCAGTTCTACATAGGTTCAAATTAGTTTAATTATCTCTGAACGTGACTTGCTCACCTTAGGTCATGGGATGGGTTATAGCTGACTCTTCATCAGCACACGAATGTTTGCCCAGACTTTGAGTCAGCTACTCAGGTGGTGGGCGGCTTTGAGCAGGTTTGTAGAATTCTTCGTGTTAAAGCAAGGACACTAATTTTTATCAGTTTGTGCATTTAAAACAGGTTTTAGCAGGCCACCCTCCCACGTAAGTGCAACTCAAGAGTGTGAGAATGAGTTATGCATTCAGGATGTGTGATTTTTTAAGGATGTGACCTTGTTGAAATCAAATCCAGTTTTTGTCACAGTCTTCAGTAACACGTTTATTTTTCTGCCGTATTTCACCTTACTACTCCCAGCTATTGCAGTGCTAGAGCGATTCTTACTGTCATGAAGAAAATGTACAGTATGAAGGAATGAAAGCAATATTGCTACCTCAGCTTATTGTGGTCACGCTCATATTAATAACCATAAGTGAAAATTAACATTGATGTTTGTAAACATTTCATTTTTAAACAACACTCTGCTTCTAAGCAGACAATTACTTCCTCTGTTTCTTGGCCTAGCTCACTGTCAGTCCACTTCCAAAAATATCTTTGCAGCGTGAAAGAATTTTACTGAAGAAATTTGCAGATGCAGCAAGCAAAATAGATCGAAGCGTGCATGAAAATATATTTCTCTCAGTTCTACCATCTTCTCCATGCGAATCATGGTATCGAAAAATTGTCAGGTCCTCAGCAGAAAGGTGATCTATCAATAATCAGAATACCTTCAGTTGGTTGTGTGCCCAAGCATTGCTGCCTTTTACTGGAACAGAATAGCTGGCTTTGCAAGTACCTTGTCACTGACAAATGTTTTATTGACCTAGAGTTATTGTTTTGAGGGCTTTTTTAAAAAGTTCTTAAGCTTATACAAAAATCCATGGGTTTAGCTCTTCTGAAAGGTTTTCGCGTTCATAATAATGGTATTTATTACTCTTTAGCTCTTTGGAAATGCTTACTAGATCACAAGGCACAGGTAGCTGCTTCTGTTGCAGGTGAGTGCATGAACATTTTCCTGGATGGAACTGGGAAACGTTACTGAGCATTAGAACCCAGAGGGATGATAAATAGACATGTCAGTATTTAACACTAACCAAAAGCATTTGAGACCAGATTGAACTAATTTTACTAGTAGTTAGTGTAATTAAATGTTTTCACCAGGATGGAAAGTCATGGTTTGATTTTGAAGTAATTTGCTTGACAAATATCAGATGTTAAAATAATTAAAGCTTAGCCATTTATATTTAATCTCAAGTGGATCCATGAAAACAAGCCTCTAAATTATATCAGATTCATATATT